CCGTTACTGCACCGTTACTGCACCGTTACTGCACCGTTACTGCACCGTTACTGCACCGTTACTGCACCGTTACTGGGCATGCAGGTTCTCCCGGACACTAGAAAATACACATGAATAACAATGCATTGGTTAGGGTGCATCAAAATGACTCTACATACTGCTGGATACTTAGTGGTGCAGCTTGAGGACCCTGGGGTCCTCTGTCAGTCACAGAAATGGCTGTCCTGTGTTATGCCTGTTGGTGCTGCAGTTGCCACATTGGTTTCAGTCTTAGAAAGTGCCAGCATTTGTGGATGATGTGCAGCATTTGACAATGGTATTTGAGCCTCTGGTTTAACTAAGCAGTTCAAGAAATAGCTCAGTTTAAACGCTTTTATTTCCAGTTTTTTGGCTCCACTGCCCTTTTTCTTGCAGCATATAATATTTACATTCAAACCTGCGACCTTTTGGCTTTGAACCCAGGCCCGTAGCCCCTGCAAGGCTGAATGCCTTCCTTTTATTAAAAAAAAAGCCTTTTGAAAGTTCAGTCATTCGCAGGAAGCATTGCGTTTCATCATTGCGAAAACCAGCATCAGCTGCGTTTTGATCTTGCCACAGATCCATTTGCCCACTATGACTCAGCAGGTAATTGGATAAAGAGCTATGATTAGACCCATTTCGTTGGGTGGTGAGATGACTGAGGTTCTGTGGCTGCAGACCCAGAGAACGGGGGAGAATCTGCTTATTGGATGTGGGACCTTTCTAGATACTGACTGGAATAATTCCTTAAATAAAACGTGTGACTTTCTATATTTCTCATATAAACATAAAGGGAAGAGTGTGCGAATTGTTTGCCAGAGGGATTCAGAAAATAGACAGGGAAGGTTAATGACCTGAGAAAGTCCAGAAGACGTGTGAATCGTTAGCAACTCCCATGAATATTTTAGAAATACACCATTATGCCCATCTTGTCATGAGAGAGGTTGGCTTACAACCGTAAAGAGATCAACATTTTATAGAGATGGGAGCCCCGAATGAGGACTTTGTTTAGGCTTTGGGGGCTTGGTGAACCGGTGGTGAGGAACAAGCATGAAAGACAGCAATCTTGGTTCAGAAAATGGGGAAATAGGCATGGTAACCAGGCTGGGAGTGTGGGCTCGTCTGTTAGGGAAGGAGATACAGTAGGACAGGATATTTTTAGATCATAAATAAATGCCTTTCGGTCAACAAGCAAGGTTTCAGCACCTTTCCCCTGTCCTGCTTTTTGTTGACATAAACTGAATCGCTTTCATGCCGCCTATACACACCGTATTTTATGGCTCCTGATAATGTCTGTCGTTTGGTCTGCGTCTTCCCCGGCACTTTCTAACGCAGTATGACACACCTCCTTCCCGCCTCCCAGCATGGCAGGGCACTCTGTCCAAGAGCAGAGGTGTACGGTAATTATTAAAGTGTAGTCTGCATTACTATCTGCCATCTCTTGTCAGCAGGTCGCCGTGGGTTACCATTCCCACGGGAGACGGAACTGATCATCCAGAGCCGATTCGGTACCGCGTCGGTGATGGCAGCGCTCTGGCTGTGAATCGGCATTACTTGTGCATTTAGACAGCGGCGGGATGGGTCAAAGAGGCCCACAGAGGACGTCTCAGCATTTCACGGGCCGTTCGTCATCGGTTTCCAGCTGTTTGTCGAGTGACGGACCGGGAAACGTGTCTGGTTTTGCCACGCTCAGATCCTTCCCCAGAAGCCGCGCGTCGGGCCAGAAAGCGGACTTGCCGGCAGCCACACAGCAACACATCAGAAAATACACTACGGGGTGTTGCATGCAAATTGACAGAGTCGGAACTGTCACAGAAGGAGAGCCAATCGACAGAGCCGCAAGCCTGCCTTCTCAGGTGGGAGTTGAAATGATTAAGTAGGACACTAGGTGTGCCATGAATATATAACTTCCTCATCCCTCCTGACACATCCCCTCCTTCTCCTGCATGTCACATGACTTCCCTCCCAGCTGGAAATAAAACTCACACTGTGAGATCATCGCTGAGCAATAATTTTTCCGTCGCGATGAGTTCACTTGTAGGTCCCTTAATGCTTCGCGAGTCGACATAACCCGGGGCAGTTGTAACCCCAAGAACGATTTATGTATTTATTTTTTAATCCAAATTCTGTATGCTTTTGAAAACTTATGTACCAGACAAAATTAGGTAACATGTACACTAGGGATTAATAAAAAAAAATAAAAACACACATGCACACAGACACACCCATCCACGCAGTCATGTCACGCTGGGGACACCGATCCTGGCTCTCTGTGCCGGAGAGCTGTGTCGACTGACTGTTGAAACTAACAACTTGTTAGACTAGAATGCATCAGTGCCTTATGCACTGCTGGGCTGGTAAATGACTTGGGAGCCTTTATGCTTCTTTCCATAGAATAATGTCGGCCCTCTAACTTATTACTGCAGGCAAAACATGACATTTCCCTGCACTGATTTTAAGTCAGCCATTTTTTTTCTGCAATGTTAATTTATTTTAATGGGCTTGTTTTGAGTTTGTCATCAGTATTGACGTCGGTGTTGGGAGAATTTTGAGGATCATGAGCCTGGTGACATTGATTGCAGTAATTAGCTTTTTGGGACCATGTGTACATGAAGGGCACCACTGGGGCTTCCTGCACCTTGAATAATCCCAGGAAAATTAGTGCGATAACACCTGTCGGAATGCCAGGGACGGATCAGTGCCCAAGCAACGGTCAGCTCCTTTGTTCAGTAAGGAGAATAAGCTCCCACACATCAGCTCAGTAAAAAGGTACATTGCATCAACCGTTCCTGTTTCAGGGGATTAATTTTCCATGGTCCCTAAAGTCACAGTTTTGTTTTAATATCCCGCCTTTGGACCCAGATGATCCCAAGGCCTCGAAGGGATGAGAAATCGTGAAGATGCTGCAGTTTTTCTTTTTTAAATAGAAGATACTGTCAGCTTTTTTAGCTCACCTGACCTCTATACGTCTGACGCGTGTTTGTGTGTGTGTGTGTGTGTATATGAGACAGAAAGAGAGGGAGAGTGAGAGAGAATCTGGATTGTTTAGTGTTATAAACATGGCTACCTTAATGTGTCCTTCAACACTAACTTACGAGTATCTTGCTATATTTATAAAAAGGACAGAATTTCTGCAAAACACCAGTTCCACCAGAAAGGGAAGAAATACTTTTTTTTTTTACTATTAAGTTTTTCTTTTTCCGTCTTGCCTTTATTTTGGGAAAAGCACAACTATTTTGCCTGTTCTGTTTGAACAGGTTTGGATTTTATGTCAGCTTGAATAAAAACTGTGCTTTCTTGCCTACTGGAGGGTGGATCGATATTTTAGATGCTTGTACCCCTCAAAGAGCAGCATTAATTATGAATGTAACCATGAGTGTTACCAGCTTGCCCACTTTCTGCCACGTACATTCTCATTGTTTCGAGTTTTTCCTTTTTCAAAGGCAGACCCCACACTGAAGCCTGTGATTGATATCGGGTAAGACTGAGCTTTCGGGTCAGAACCCATCCATGCCAATCTCGCCTCTATAATCACCCCCAGGCAGAGATGGCTGCCCAGGGAGATTAGTTTAGGATGGGTTGTCTGGGTGTGCTTTTTTTCTTTTTTTTAAGCCCCCCCTACTGGGGTGGGGGGTGAATTGCAAGCCTTCTCAGTTGAATGTTTAAAGGGGCTTGTCAGTTAAAGCTATGCACTCCCCTGCATCGGGAGCCTTTAGGTTACCTCTGGGTAACACTGGTTTCCCCCCCCCCCACAGTCCAAGGTGAATTGGAGTCGCCAAAGTGTCGATAGGTGTGAATGTGTGTATGAATGGTGAGTGCAGCCTGCGATGGGTCGGCACCCCTTCCTGGGTTGCTCCCTGTCTTGGACTTGTAGTTTCAGGGATAGGCTCTGGACCCCTTCTATACCTTCTATACCTGCAGGTATAGAAAATGGATGAATGGATATTTGTGGTGGTCAGAAATGACTGGGCTACTGTATGATATCACCTTTTGTTTAAACATTTTACCAGGCTGAATGCAAGCCTATGAAAGGGTTAAGCATGTTAATTTAAACTTTAATTGACTGGTATGGGCTTTCTGAAAGAACAGAAATTGCTGAAACAGTTGTAAATATGTGACATCCGTCAGTAGTTACAGTATGTATTTTCTCTTAACAAAATCAGGCATTATAAATGACTTAACTGGGCCGTGATTGATTTTCTTAATTTGCTGTAGTTAGTCAGTAATCATTTGCTCCCACGTTAATCTAAATGTACTGCCCAGAACGCAGTGTGCAGTGAAATAGGGTATTGGATCATGCGGCCATCTTGTTTAATTAGGATCGTTCAGTAGTAAGTCCTCCTCCCAAACCTTCTCAGACCACAGAGTCTATTCGGTTGACTGTAATTGTGATTGTTTCCCCCAACGCTCATGCTAACAGTCACACCGATAGGAATTATTGTTTGCTTGTACATGCATTGTGTACATGGTTCATCGGGTTGAGGCGCTCTGCCTGTGAGCAGAAGGTTCCTGCTTCAGATCCCGGGGTCGGCAGTGTAATTTCACCATTAGGCCCTTAAACCTCAGTCGCTCCAGGGACTGGCTGACCCTGTTCTGGACATAAGTGCCTGATAAATAGGTGCGAATGTACATTTCTGTATCATCTCCCTTCTGTTGCCTCCCTGTGCCCGACGTGTTATAAAACACGTTCGGCAGTTCCGCCCGCGATGCCATTTGGCGCACTGACCACGCGCGATAGGGTGGGGCCCCTCGTGGGGCCTGTCACCGGGACACCATGGCTATGCCCGGATCCTGATCGTCGTCCGGCATTCCATGGGTCAGCTTCCCTGCACCCCCCATATTAATAGTAGGGGTGGGAGTTGTTTGTTTCACTCTAAATAAAATCCTGTTCGACTGCACTGCTGTAATCGGGAGGTTCGTTCAATTTATGTTAATTAAACGGCTTAAATTAATGTGCTGCTGTACTTTCAGATATTCCTGTTACTGAGAGTGTCCAGCAGGGATTTAATTCATTGGTTTATCTTTAAGCGGCAGCTGCACGCAGTGGTACGGCGCCCCCACAGTTACGAGCGCTGTCCACATGGGGGAGCCTCTCTGTCTTGTTCCGTGGCCTGGCCTGACTCTTCCTCTCTCCTCTCCTCCTCCAGCTCTTCTGAGAAGTCCTTCCCCTGGAGATCAGCAGGTACCGTGTCTCCAACGCCGCCCCTCACCCCCCATCCCCACTCCGAACTCCTTTCAAGGAGGAGCAACAAAAGTACTACTCCAGAAGTCACTAGAAGTCGCTGAATGATGCAGTGTGCTAATTTGCATAATCATGATGTCACTAAAATTACTTGCATATTGGAATGTGTTATGTGGAGGATGAAGATTGCTGACTACATACTTACAGAATGTTCAAACTATTTATGTGTTTAAATTGGATAAAAAAAAATTCAAGAGAGAGACTATTTTGTCATACATATTTCATAGGCTGTTTTTTAGTTTCTAGGCTGCCAGTGTAGTCATAAAGGGAGCAGGGTTTACTCAGGGTAGTTTTATAGTATATTAATGTGATCCTGTCTGTCAGCCTATTGTCAAGGTATACCGTGTACAAAATTTACATGACACTAGTATAGCTGGCCACAGAGGCAATGTAGATGGGGGAAAGGACGATTCCAAGTGCCTCTGAGCGACAGGGACCCTAAAGAATTCAGAACATAATATGACCGGGCTGGGTTGGGGGCCCAGTATGATGTGTTAACATAGAGCTCTAGATCTCTAACGGCACCTCTGGCTGCCTGCATATTTCAAACGACATCCGGCCGAAATGAAATCAAACACATCATCGTGAACAATCTGCCACATACTTAAAGCTGCCACTTTGTTCATTCTGTGTCACGCCACACGACCCTGGAAGGCGCGGAATGTTTTTGATGCAGCAGACCCACAAACCGAGTGCAAATACATGAATTTCGGCGAGTACGCGATTCATTTTAATAAACGAGATGACAGCTCTTTTAAAATAGAAGTTGCTCTCTATTAAAAGTCACTTTTGGTTTAATACTAGCAGTGCCACAGACTGGGACGTCAACAATTTACGTGACACAATTACACACTAATGAAACGCACGTATTCAAAGGGAGACGTTACACGGTTACGACATTTACTGTTTACAGCATAAATACACAAATACATGTATTAATATACAATATTTACAGCTATGTGTGGTGCGGTGCAAAGCCTGCTGGTAACTGCATAATTAGTCCTGCTGACCAACCCTGCGGCATCACATTTATGTCAGCCAATCATGGACAGTGGGTGGGATCAGAACAAACAAAAAAGTTCACCTAAAGGGCCCTGCACAGGTGGTGCACCGGAAGGGTAATCACCGCGGTGATTATGCATCATATAGCATCATATTTCTAAAACAATAGCTTCTGTGAGGTTTGCCAAAAATATTATGGTCAGCTTAAAAGTAGCCCAGCATCTTAACAAATAGAATGAACCCGTGGGGCTATTTATGTGGGCCGCTCTGTAGTTACTCTCAGAAGGTATAAGGCAACTTTGTATGCCCCACCAGAGGTGCTCATTAAGTGCCATTTCCATGTTATCCTTCGTCTGTCTCTAGGAATCTTTTTTTGTTGTTGTTGTTGACAAAATGGCAGTGTGGATGGCTTTCTACCCCAGGGTTGCCAACTTTCATCATCTGGTGTGACATTCACGCTTTCAGACTACTCTCATCATCTGGTGTGACATTCACGCTTTCAGACTCTCCAGCTCACGCAAGAAATCTTACGGCAAATCTATATCATTCCATTATAAGCATGAAATTAGCTATGTCAAAAGCGTTTGGGGTAGTTTGCAAACCCTACAGACTATTTGCAAGGTAATAAAACTATTTCGTATATGAGGATGTGTGTGCAGACATGCCTCAAATTAAGAATCTCTCTCCAGCCAGCTGACCAAATCCGTCAGCCCTGTACCTGTTTTAGCAAAGATGCTCGGCAAACTCGGCACATTGCAGCAGAGACAGTATGCCATAGAATCATTGCCTATGCAGGGCTTTAACCAGCCCATAAATGCCATTTTTCCTGTGCTTTTCTTAGTGTAGTTTTTTAACATGGCACAGTTCTCTGCTAGTCTCTAAATATTCATGGTGTGGATACAGTATGTAGGCTGCACATCATGTGTTGCTATGTCTCCATAATATAGATGTGAGACATGATTGAATAACCACATCGATCAACGTGCCCAGAAACATCCATGGTAGTTAGAAAATGGAAAGGATGGCGAAACAGTGGTGAACAGTGATTGGTCACTGAAAACTCTTTCATCCAGTCACAGCTCATTCATGTTTTGGACTCATTGTTTGGACAAGCAGCCTCAGAGCGGAGGAAAGTGGCTATTGCCTGCTCACAAAGTAGGTATCTTTGTTGCTATTTTTTTTTAATGGCTAAAGGGGATTAAAAAATCAGCACATCTAGCTAAACTGGCATCAGAGGCAACAGAATGAATACAAGAAGATACAAATGAAGGAAAATGCTAAGAAATAAAATTTAAAAACACAACAATAACACCATAAGCTGGTTTTGTTGCAATCTATAAATACATGTAGCACTTTGTTTGTTTAAAGGTTAATTTTGCATTTTATTATTGGTGCATGGAATTCATATTGTGTTACATTTCAAATTGCTGCGTTGAGCCATCTCAAATTAACCATTAAGTACCTAGAAAACCAGATACTGCAAAGGATGATGCTAGTAAAATTTCGCTTCCAGACACTGAGTAAGAAGTATCTCTCCATGAAGACTGCCGAAACCTGTTTGTAAGCTGGAAAATGATTTACTGGTCTGTTAGTGTCCAACAGAGTAAAATCTAGTTTAGCACTAATTGCGGAAATTATTCTGGTAATTTGTCAAAGCTGTCATTAGTCTCATTTATTTGGTATTGTCACATTAATATTTGAAGATTTTGATGAAATGAATGGTATAAAATTCCACTAATGGAATTTCCATTTGACATATTAACTGTGGAGTTTCAAATCAAATTATTTGTGTCCCTGTTATGCACCAATGCAGTCACTGCCTGGGATTCATAATCAGGCAAATTAATACTTAGCTGAGATTAAATGCACTTTATTGAATGTTTTGTCCATTTGATTGATTGCAAAAGCATAACTTAAAATGAGGTCATAAAGAAAACTTATTGTTTGTATTTTAGTTCTACTTGGAATGTGTGATTAGAGGAAGTTTTGTGGCATAACAGTTTTAAGTAGATGTTTTGTGATGGAATCATCATTCTGTGTAATTGTCCCAATCTTCAAGGAGAAAAGACTAAGCTTCAAAGTGTTACAGACGCCTTCCCGAGTTATTCAGAACGATTTTCTATGCCGTCACCGGCAAGGGTGATGGATATCGTGTGTTTGGTCTCGATTCTCGGAGTCTGCACACAGCGCATATAAATCAGTCTTTTTCTGGGTGCCCGAAATGTGGGACTGAGAAAACATCTGCTTTGCAGAACCAACTCAGGTTTGTTTATTCTCAGAAAGATCTAGGCTGTGTTTGGTCAGACCTTTATAATCAGAAGCTGGCCAGATGGACTAAGATGGACGTTTGCATGTGAGGTCGTGCATTTGCATTGGGAAATGTGTAGTTGTTTATGAGGCCATGCGTTTTCCACTGGGAGATGTGTCTGCCTGTGAGGTCATGCATTTTGCACTGGGAGATGTGTAGCCACCTTTGAGGCCATGTGTTTATTTTGGAAGATGTGTAGCCACAATTGAAGCCATGTGTTTGCATTGAGAGATGTGTAGGCACTTGTTAGGCCATGTCTTTGCATTGGGGGATGTGTATCTGAATGTGAGGCTGTGCATTGTAATTGGGAGATGTGTAGCTACCTGTGAGGGTGTGTGTTTTGCATTGGAAGATGTAGCCACTTGTGAGACTGTACATTTGCATAGGGAGATGAGTAGTTACCTGTGAGGCCATGTGTTTGCTTTGGGAGATGTGTAGCCACCTGTGATGCCATGTGTTTGCTTTGGGAGATGTGTAGCTACCTATGAGGCCATGCGTTTGCTTTGGGAGATGTGTAGCCACCTGTGATGCCATGTGTTTGCTTTGGGAGATGTGTAGCCACCTGTGAGGCCATGTGTTTGCTTTGGGAGATGTGTAGCCACCTGTGAGACCATGTGTTTGCTTTGGGAGATGTATGGCTGCATGCAGGAAACAGAGTTGAATATGAGATGGCTCTGTTATTTATTGCCTTTTTGATTTTTCCCTTCTTCTGAAGGAAATATCATCGTAAGCCTTGTCGGGGATGTGTAATATATATGTTTCTGGTGATGCAAGGATGTGACTGAATCTCTGGCTGTTTTATTAGCCCATTGGTCATTATCCCTTTTTCTTCTCACGCAGTGGCTCTTCGAATTGGAGTTATCGTTTCTGTGTGTGTTAACTGAACGAGCGCTGTTCAGTGCCACTTTAGTGTTGATTTGTTGGCGTCCCCCATTTGCTGCGGCTTATCTGTTCATACCAGCGATGATTTATTAGGAGGGCAGCTTCTTTCCATAACCAGGCCATCCTAGGCAGGGGGGTGGGTTACATAGTTGGCCGTGAACCTCCGCCGGCATCGTCCTGACGTGTGAATCCCATTGCGATCAATACTGCTGATAACGTCCCCCTGCAAATTGGAATCTTCAGGAGAATGAAAATTAATTTCCTGAAATACATCTCTGCATTTGAAACGTGTGTTTCTCGTAGAGCCGATATTTTCCATTGAACTTAGCTCTTATTTATGTCCGAGAAAATGACGTATTTCACGTTCCAGCCATAGTTGACCATCAGTCTGTGGAGGTCACTCGTATCAGAGTTTAACTTTAGCTGCCTCTCGTAGATGACTGAATTAGCAGATGATTTACACATTCTGGACAGCATTCTCGAGCAATAAAGGGATGATTTTTAAAGAAGAGCTTCATAATGTACTCAGTGGTTTTGAATAAGAGGTAAACTGCAATTTACTAATCTGAGCAATTAGGTTGAGGAATCTGTCGGGACCTGACATGAGCTCAGCCTCTTTTGGGCTGAGTCTTAACCTGTGAGCTCCTCAGGCTGGTTTTTCTGGTACATCGGGTTCCTGTTGCACACTCTCGACACAGTTGTTGCCTTTCTCCTTCGGCTTGATCAGCATTCCCTTCTAACTCCCGTTTCCCTTCCCAGACGCCTCGGTGGTGGGTGAGACCAAATCGCGGGTGACGGACAGCTCGCAGTCACCAACCTACTGCACGCGGAGTGAGGCGGACCAGGCATCGCTGTACTCCCCCGAGCAGACATCTCTGCATGAAAGTGAGGGTCTGTCAAACCCCCCACCACCTACCCCAACCCCACACACACAACCCCAACAATAACACGGTGACTCTCCATCCCAGCACTGGGCTGTGCCACATTTTAAGGCTGCAGCATTTCAACCGGCACCCGGTTGCCCATGGGCCGTGACTCACGGCGTCACACCTCTCACGCTTTCACATAACTCAGTTTCACATGATTCGCCTCAGAGCTGAAATAGCGCGGCCGGGGAGCCGTGGCCGAGCGGGAAGCCTGTGAGACGCCGTCGTTGGACGGGAGAATGCCGGCGTCCACGGCTCCGCTCGACTGTGGGATACTGGGGGGCGCGGGACCGCAGCCGGTGTGTGCCGGTTACATGATGCCGTGCTCATCGCATGCCTCCTCTCCCGCGTCCCCAGCAGAGTCGGCCGGGAACTCCCGCAGCTCCACGCAGATGAACTCGTACTCGGACAGCGGCTTCCAGGAGGCCTGTGGGTACTACAGTGGACAGGGTGCCGGCAAGCCGGAACTCAGGCTCCAGCACTCCTATCCTGGCAGTGGAAACTCGCTGGGCCGCGGAACCCGCGCTGAGGGACAGACCTCCATCCAGGTGCCTCTCTATCCTTCATCTCCACGGGGAGGGAGGGGGGGGGGGGGTTTATCTGAGCATTATGATTGATTATGATTGATATCTTTACATTTCAAACGAATCAGTCTCTTTTTGATGTATAAACCATGAGTGTGTATACAGTATATTACGCGTTAGACTGTAATCCGGGAAATCTGCTCTGCTGATGTCGTTATTAATAGTCCTTGGGGGAGGGAGGCAGCTTTAATCAAAGTGAATCGAAATCAAATCATACTTTTTTATCAAATGCATATAGCAGGAGCTGCAGGCAATGAAATGAGTCTCCCTATAGTACTAGAAAAACAGTAACTAGTTAAATAGTTAAGATAGTTACTAAATGTTAGCTGTTGAGCAGCCTCCCTGCCTGAAGGGAGAAGGTGTTTCACAGCCTGTTTGTCCAAGTGCCGACGTGTCAATGCGATGATACCTTCCCCCCCCCCGGCACTTCGTCGCTCCTGTCCCATCTGGATCCCTGAGCCCTATCTTTGATCTCCTCTGCCCCCCACCTTCAGGTGACCGGGAGTCACCCCGCCGGCTCGGGCCGGGCCATGCGGAGGGTGAGCTCGGTGCCGTCCCGCACGCACTCGCCCGCGTACGGCAGTGCCGTGTCCCCGTCGCGCGGCTCCCTGCGCACCTTGCTGGGCAGCGCTTACGGCTCGCCGGTGGTGGCCGAGCCCAAACCGCTGGCGGCGGTCTTCTCCGCGACGACGCTGCCTGCTTCCCAGCGGCCTGGCTCTCCGGCCTCCGTGCGGCCCGGTAGCGCCGGCCGCGCTGCCTCCTCCTCCCCATACCAGGCGCCGGCACGCGCCGGCTCCCCCGCGGCCACGCCCGGATCCTCATCGCCCTCGCCGGTGCGCTCCGGCATGACGGCGGTGCCTCAGCACTACGGCTCCACGCTGCCGCGCTCCCTGCTACACGACGGTGACCTCTACGCCCCGCGCACCTACGAACTCTACGAGCGCATGCTCCCGCCGCGCCCCGACAGCCTCACAGGTGGGTTTCTGGATGACGCCCCAGATGCTCTACAGATTTTCCCATTCCGCTTGCATCTCCGCAGAGCTCAAGATTAATTAACCCAGACGCCTCCTATCTGGGGGGTTTACGTCGCTGCGGAAACAGTCTGCCATATGTACTGGCGGCTGACACTGACTGTTAGAGCCTGAAATCGTTCCCTTCCAGAAATGGCATGAATCCCACAGCTGTCAAAAAGCAGGAACCCAAACGTGGACGTGGGACCGTTTTTTTCCCACTACAAGGAAATATTTCCCTTAAACTTTGCAGGAAGTTATATAAGAAGCATATGTGCCTGTTTTGTATATATATATCCACACATATGTATGTGCCGCATGGGGCCTGCGAACATGGCATCTGTAGTGCTTTGTGGAACCGATCAATTATTTAATCTCTTCTGTGACGTACGTATGGCCTAATGCTTTCCTATGGCTCCCTGAATGGGCATCAATGTCAGATGTAACGAGGCTTTTAATTCCTGCCAGTGGCATGTTTGATCATCGCTCTCACGTTAAGCTACTCCTCGCCCAGTGCTCTGTGAACAAGCCCCCTGTCCCATGAATAATTCAGCCTGTTTTTTCTCCCCATGTGTTGATTGAAAGCATCCCCCCCCC